AGAAATAAAGGAAGAAAAGACAGAAGGAAGGAAAGAGGTAGAGAAGGAAGGAAGGAGAGAAAAAGAAAAAAAAGGGAAGGAAGGGAGGAAAGAGTGAGGGAAGGAAGGAGAGAAAGAAAGAAGAGAAAGAGGTTGGAACGTTGGCCACAGCAACGCATGGTGGGTACAGCTAGTAATAATAATAATAATAATAATAATAATAATAATAATAATAATAATAATAGTTCTACAGTGTAGCTGCACCCCAGGATCCCCTAATTAAAACTGTCCAGAGGAGGCTTGAGGAGACTCACCCGGAGTGAATCCAGCTCTTTCTCGGTGAAGTTGGTGGACTTGGCCATGTCCCACAGGTCAATCACGCGGGGCTCCTGGAATTCTGGAAGGAAAAGCAGGACCGTGCTACCAACGGAAAGCCAAAGAGCAGCTCTACAACTACAGAATTCGGCAGGGCCCAGGATCAGAGCCTGTTTCCCTGCAGTCCGGACAGAACCTGGCTTCAGGATCTGCCCTGCTTGATCTATTCATGCTATTACGTCATTGTATTACAGTGTAATACAGAGGTTCCTAGAGAAGAATAGTTGCACAGCTATGCAACTATTCTTCTCTAAGCCGGTAGGCTGTTAGGAATGGTGGGAGTTGGAGTCCAAAACACCTGGAGAGAGGGCCAAAGGTGGCCCATGTCTGGGCCGAGGTCTACCTGCACAACCTACAGGACACTCAAGGGAGGGGTGGGGTCTGTCTGTCCGTCCGTACCGCTGGAGGGGTCGTATCCCTGGTGTGCGACGCGGCGCAGGCGCTCGAATCCCTGGCTGATGCTGTGCATCTTCTCCTTGAGCTCCGAGTGCTTCCTGTGCAGGCGCTCCTCCCGGAAGGGGCTCCCTTCCTCCTCCTCCTCCCCCTCCTCCTGGGTGATCATGTTCTTATGGCTGTCTGGACACAGGGAAAACCGGGGGGGGGGGGCACAAAAGACCAGAGAAAAACATGAGTGAGGGGCTGACAAGTGGCTCCTCTCATTTCCAGAATGAACGAACTGAATTTTGTCAGCAATTTAAGTCCAGGGTGTCCATAAAGTCTCTTTGGCCTCCAGAACAAGGCCTATGAGGAGCGGCTGAAAGAGCTGGGTATGTTTAGCCTGCAGAAGAGAAGGCTGAGAGGAGACAGGATGAGGACAACTAAAATGATCAAGGGTCAAGCCCTATGAGGAGTGGCTGAAAGAGCTGAGAATGTTTAGCCTGAAGAAGAGAAGGCTAAGAGGAGACATGATAGCCATGTATACATATGTGATGGGAAGTCATAGAGAGGAGGGTTAGTGAGGCCTGAAATTGGTCTGTTGGCTAGCGGAGTTAGCTAATGGAAATACCTTGCAGACCGCATCTCGGCCTATGAGCCCACGAGGACCTTGAGATCATCTGGGGAGGCCCTTCTCTCGGTCCCGCCTGCCTCACAGGCACGCCTGGCGGGGACGAGAGAGCGGGCCTTCTCGGTGGTGGCCCCCCGGCTGTGGAACACCCTCCCTGCTGAAGTTAGACAGGCGCCTTCCCTCATGGCCTTCCGTAAGGGCCTGAAAACATGGCTCTTTGAGATGGCCTTCAATTGAGTGCTATGTGATATGACGATCGGAATGGACCACGACTATGAGATTGATTATGACCCCATGTTAAGACGATGCGGATTTTTAGTATAAGTAGATGTTATGTAGTAGTAGAATGTTGTCTGTTGTCACGATTTATTGTAAATTGTCTTTTCTATGTTTTTGTACACCGCCACGAGTCGCCCTAGGGCTGAGAGTGGCGGTTAATAAGTGCAAGTAATAAATAAATAAATAAATAATAATAAATAATTCCACAGCTATTAGGGAAATAGCTGGTAGAGGAGTGAGAGAGAAGTGTTTCTGTGTAACTAAGTCTGAACTGCTTTATGTAACCACACGCTTTTAAGACAATACTCTGAAACAGCTAAGCTTTATACCTAAATTGTTCCTGTTCTCTTAAATAAACATCACTGTTTTGTTGTTCACAACATCTGCCTCACGTGTGCCTCTGTGGGTGAAGGTTTAAAAGCAGATTCCTGAAGAATCAGGAGTTTAATGGTGACAGCATATATTGTATAGAACAATCTTTTAGTGATACTTCAGAACACAAGCCTGAGGGCTAATCCAACGCACTCTTGCCTAAGATATCTCCCGTAAGCCAAGGGCTTATCAGCGCTTCTAAGTTGGTGGGTGCCAGAGGGCTTTCAAAAAGGGATTTTCGGCCAGAAGAAAGTTTCAGCTTTCTTTACAGCTTTTTGGGTTTTCGGGCTTTTAGTCACAGAAGCCTCATTCCAATCTAAGTGGTCGTTCAGTGCTGTTTGGGATTTTTATTATCAAATAAATCTCTCAACTGGCCCTCATCATATCTCCTCTCAGCCTTCTCTTCTTCAGGCTAAACATGCCCAGCTCCTTAAGCTGCTCCTCATAGAGCTTGTTCTCCAGGCCTTTGATCATTTTAGTCGCCCTCTTTCTCTGGACACATTCCAGCTTGTCAACATCTCCCTTCAATTGTGGTGCCCAGAATTGGAC